ATATCGGAAAAATTCATGGAAAAATTTTTTTTAAATAAATTAGGTTTAGAACTACGCCAACTTCCGCAATCACAGCTTCCGTCACGGATGCTTATAGCTTATTTGTAATAATTGATGTCCACTGCAAATCAGTGACATACTACACATTATAGAATAGAAATTCAACAGAAAACACTGGGAAAACATCATATTCAAGTCCAGAAAGATATTGAAATATATAGAGAATACTCGAATCGACATGTCAAAAATACAGAGAACAAATATTAACAACTGTCAAATCGATTGGTATCAATCAGTCATCAATACCACAAGATTGATAACACAGAATCTATGAATCATATTATATTACGTTAATAAAATCCGAAATTAATTGTAAGTTTAGCTAAAAGTTAACATGAAATTTATTGACTGTTCGCCGGGTCAGCTGGCAAGAAATAAAGTCAAGTTTGTTCTAGGTATCTATAATTTGTTTCTATAATAGTGATTCAGTACAAAATATGTCTATTTCTTTTAGTAAATAAAATGGACATTAAACATTAAGAATTCTTAAAAACTCCCAAAATGTCTTTTTTATGATGTAGCGACCAACATAAATTAGAGCACCCTGTACATATAATATCGTTGTGTAAATATGTAAATCTTTTGTATGGTATTCCTTTTCTGTGTAAATATTTCTCAACATTATCTTCTAAAGTTTTTGTATTCTATCCATCTGTGCCAATAACTTTTATTACTGTACTTTCCTATAATCCCTATTAACATTTCAACTTCGCGTACTAACCGCATGACGTCTGTACTTTGCTATCCGTCCTAATTGCTATTTTATGAGGGGTTTCTTCGGTGATTTGGGTTCAACAACTTAATTCTATATTTTCTATCTTCAGCAGTTTTCAAATCATATTTTCTTACTATTGGTTCCCTTCTTTTATCTACAACCCTTAGCTCCACCTTCATAACTTTCCTAAATTATTCAAATTCTATATTGTTCAGTTCTAAATCAACCTTCGTTCTACTCTTCTTCAGCTCTAACAGTGTCAAATAAATATTTGTTTTTTCACCAGATTTTATTATTTTAATATTGAACACGCCTAGAACCAAAATGAGATTTCTAGAAGTCGGAGTCGGTTTTGAAACGTAAACAGAAGTCAAAACTGGGAAATTAAGATGAGTCAATGTCCATTCTTGTCTCGTGATAAGTAAAAAAGGCGAATAGCGTCGGAGGTGGTCCGGTCAATTAACTCCGTCAATAGCGTCTCTTTTATAGCTTTCCTTTTCCCTCTAATTGTTCAGCATTCGATCTCCACCAACGGACAAGATCGAACGTAAACAACCGTAATAGAGCAATAAATAAGTGAATAATAAAAACGGGTTTCCTTAAACAATCGACAAACGGACAATGGACGAAAGATCCAGTCATTTTGTCGCATTCGTGACCGTGCTATTGCCCGAACGGCTGACGTATTTTTATGCCAATGTCACGATGAAACGCAACCATGGAATGCTACCGGAATTTTTGACCATTGTAAGAAAGAAATATCATTTACCTAAATAAATATGCTTCTACTCTTCTACAGCGGCCCTTTGTCGCCAACTGTTGTGGAATTGCAAAATTCACTCAAAAATACTGTACACATATTAATAAATATGTATGATTGAATCTATTGATACTTAGATACGCACCAGATAATCGAGTACCCGATAGAATCACTACGGTTAACGATTCACGTCCTCTGTCTATTAACTACCACCTCTGCACCCTTGCCGATGTCTCAAACCAAACATTAAGTTCCATTCAAAAAGTCGTTTAAACACTAATGTAACAAAATTATACTAAAAGGTTATCGTTAATCGAATCCTAATATACCTACCAACCAGTGGTGTTGTCGAGCGGGAACGCTCCGGAACGTCGTTCCGGTACTTCCTTTTTGGACAGGAACGCGTTCCGGAACTAAAGATGATTTCTGATAACGAGAATTGGCTGACGTATTGAAAAAAAAAATTAAAAAGAATTGCTGATTTTTTTTTCTAATTTTTGACGAATTTTTATATGTATTATTATAAACAAGGGTTTGAACCGAACCCGAACCGGAACAAAAACCGGAACGAACCGGCTTGTTTTTCCGAACCGTGAACCGGAGTCCGGAACGTTTTTTTTCTGCTGAACCGGAACTCGAACCGAACCGAAACAAATACGTGAACCGGTTTTTGAACCGGTTCAACGGGAATTAAACTTTATTTATAATAAACATTAGAAGAAAAAAATATAAAATTTTAAAAAAGTAAAGATTTCATACATAAATTTTAATACAAGCGGCCCACGGACCGTACGTTACTCATCCCTGGCATAGTTTATTGCCATACCCAAATGGGCCTGCGGCTAATGCTAAGAAT